GCAGAGGTAAAAAAGGCTAACAAAGAGATGGATAAAGGACTGCATTATGAATTTAAATCCAACATTGCAGAACATATCGTTACAAATGGGCACAATTTGACAAAGGATAACATTAATATCCTGTGGAGTGTATTTTCGCCTTGGAAACTAGACGTAGCTGAATGTTTAGAAGTATTTAAACATAATCCATCAGCATTGCTTAATAGAGATCAAGGAAACGGATACTCGAGACTCTTTAGCATGCTGCCTAAAACCACACATCGTAGCATGCATCTACCTGTTGGAGACTAAATTTAGGTACCTGGTTAGGTAAATTGTGACATAGCAGTAGATACCTACTGATTTTTAGTACCTATTGATAAGTATATAACTCGTAGATAAAAGATGGATTCTTCAGTGGTTTTGAGTACCCAAGTAACATTGCAAGTTTTATCACGGTTTTAAAGCATGCTACAAGTCTAAATCAGAGTCTGCAAAACTCTCATCAAACTCCAATTGGGTACTTGGTGCTGATGAAGTCTGCAAGTAGTAGACGAAATACGCGTATCTGTCAAAAGATAAGCAATTATAACGGAATTTAAAGGAAATAAACCAACTCAGAGCTCTTCATAAAGGGATTCCGTTAAGAGGTTCGACAAATTTGAAAGACTAATGTGCACACTTAGAAATAACTAACTTCACACGTGACGGAATCCATATTTGACATAAAAGATGAGACGTAAACAAACATGTCATGTAATATTAAGTGTTCCGAGACTGAAAAGTTCGTTGCTCGACGAAAAGTACGTTTGATTGAGCTATATTTCGCGTCTGTTATGACTCAAATTTATGTTAAAATTGACGCTCGTGTATGTCACTCTCAGATCACCTAAATTTACATGAATTTTCCTAAGGGTGTGTATTGTTTGATGTACACCCTTTAGTAAGAACTTTTTGTTGGAAGGAGATTTACCAGAACTGCAATTTCGATGCTGATCCCAATATATCTTCAACACACAACTTCTAAGGGATGGTACCGTGGAAAAAGCTTTTAGCTATAACTAATACTATGTATTGGCGTAAACAGATAGTTCGTAACAAATATATCTTTATGGTTGTAGATCTTATCTACAGATCTATATCTTTAAATATATTATATTATGCATATCTTAAAAAAAAAGAGCAACTCTTCTGAAGACACCAAAGTTCCACAGCCTGCCATTTTCTAGTTATATTACAAATAAAAAAAAATGTTGCACATGATGAAATGGTGAATAAAATGTTCTTCTATATGTTTTCATTAACAACCTTGCAAACTTTTTTTTATTAAGTAGATGCATTGAAAGCTTTTGCTAAGGAAAAATATGGTTACAAATAAGCTTTAAAGAAAATGTCGAATAACTTCAAAATATATGCTTCATTAAATTTAGTCTGTTTACGTCATCTGCAGATATCTGCAGAAACTTTTGGCACCAATTTAAAGGCTGCAGTCCACAGATGGGTCAAATACATAGAAATACCGTTACTTTTAGGAGGAATATGTAAATAATAACAGTTTATATCACAAAATAATGAATTCGATAGCAGTATTAGAAAAATTCACAACATGTAACCCATTTAAATTTCTATCCTCATGTTCCTTGTTGTAGTCAATGCGTTTCACAACCAGAGGCGGCAAATGTAAATTGTTTGCCAAACCTTCATCCAGAGTGAAACAAAATAGTCAGAACACGTGCGGTCGTATGTTTGTATACATACATTACAAGCGAACGGCGGAGATAGACAATAGAAAAAATACTGCAGTCCATTTTTTTCAATTAAATTTTAGTGAGGTTTAGGTGAGGTTTGAACTCGTGACTTTGTCGTGAGAAGTATGGATGCTAACCACTACGCACAGTAAATTATCAACTTCCTTATTTACGTATAATTTTAACAGCTATTCATTCTTATCTATTAATTCCATACTAATCATATATATGCAGTTCATTCCTTCATTCCTTTTTATTTAACGTCGGTCTCTGTTCCGCAATCTAGTGCCAATCACCGACGGACATCGATTGCCATCCATTGACGGCAATCGAATGTGCAGAAAGGCAGCTTCCACACCGGCGTAGGATATCACACCCATTCACAACACACATGGGCCGGGACCAACGGCTTTACTTCCCTTCCGAAGGAAGACGTGACCAGAGATTTTTATGCCTCAGAAAAATCAAACCGACCTTGGCTGGGATTGAACCCAGACCCATTGGGATGAGAAAGCAGTCACGCTTACCACTACATTACCGGCGCCGGCTAAATATATATGCAGTTACGAATAAAAAAACAATAGTTTGGTGCATCTCTTTCAGTATCTAGCTAAAAGGGAAAAATGTTTTTGAATGCTTTTTCAAGATAATCTTAGCATAGTAATAATATTTTTAAGGGTGGGAAGTTTTTATTACTACAAATCTCTATAATAAAGTAAAAAAAAGTTTACATTACTTTCGCCCACTGTTTATATTCCCCTCTTTTTGCAGTAGCGGTATCATGTAGCCAATTCAGTGCATTTAGCAAATTTATTTATACTGGATTCACCAGCTTTTGTAGTACACCGTTGGTAGTATACAGTGATAAACTATTAGATATGTTTGTGATGTATTTTATTCATGATATTTGGGTTGATACGAATGTTTGATTTTATTGACGTTAATATGAGACACTTCCGAGTTGGTTCGAAATGCTAACATGAAGCTTTAGTGTGATGATTTATTAGCTAGAGAATGATCTTTAGAAGAGGGAAGATCATTCTCTAGCTAATAAATCATCACACTAAAGCTTCATGTTAGCATTTCCAACCAACTCTGAAAATCGTTAACTTCGCGTATGAAGTAACATAAAAAAAAACACTTTGAATGAGACACTTGTTAAGTGCCACAGGTTTGGAAAGCTAACTTCTGGTCATGAAATATTTATTCAGATCAAAGACTGAAATAGCGTGAAAGATCACTATGAAACAAAAAACCATCGCTCGACATAGCTTCAGCACTGTCGATGCAATATTTGTACAAAAATCAAAGCAGGATCAGCTATAGGTAAAACACGCATGAAGCTAACACAATAGTTTAGCAAAAACACGAGTATGGAAGTTAAGGACAAGGTTGATAGAATCCACAAATCACCGGTGCCATTTGTGGATTCTACCAATCTTGTCTTTAAATTATGGTCATTCTAGCTCAAGTGTATGCAAAGTTGTGGTCAATGTCACCGATTTCAACCAAACTTTGCAAACATGCTTATTTTGATATTCTAATAACGGATTTTGGTCTAAAGTGCTCTGTGCCACCGTGGATTTTTTAGATTTTTAGATATTATAGCATTGAATAGAGATTACTCCGCAACCAAACTAAATCTATGTGTTCTTGACCCTCCATTTTCAAGGGTTTTAAAGAATCGAATAGATTATTCCAAATTTTATTTGTGTTAGCCGAACTACAGTAAAGAGCCAGATTATTGAAAGGTATCCAAATGATCAAAAAACGCCCTTTTCCAACCTTGATGGGCTTATTGATTTTCAAGATATTAGCCTGAAATTTTCTCCATACGTTAAAAAAAACTATCTACTAGATGAGTCCAACTTGTTTTCATATAGCGGCGCCGGTGGTGTAGTGGTAAGCGTGATTGCATCTCACCCCAAAAGGCCTGAGTTCAATCCCAGTCGAAGTAAAGCCATTAGTCCCCGGTCCATGAGTTGATCCAGGTGTGGGAGTTGCCTTCCTGGCGTCGGTTGCATTGGAAAACAAATCAAGGAAAAAAATACTTCTTTTCATGATGAGATAGAACAAGTGTTTTTATATGTTAATTATTTCAAGAATCTAACGGAAAACACTCTTAGATTTTTTATATTTTTTTTTCAATATATTAAAAAAAAAACGAATTTCAGTAACCTTCCCGTTAAATAAAATGTTGACCCGATAGTTATAGCTTATGAAACTTATATTTAAGTTGACAAACTTTGCATTGAAGAGCAATAACATTTCTAGCTTATTAAGTGTTCTTTTTATCCTAAGTTATTGGTATACCGAGTATATTCTTGTATCTCATAAAAATTAGATGTATTTACCTAAACTAATGTTTATAGGCATCTTTAAAATTTCAATGTGCAGTTGATTTGTGTGGATGAGTAAAATTGAAAACCTGCATACAATTTGAACCAGGAATAGTCTGGAAAGTTCAATGCATTTCAACAACTTTTTTTTTTTCATTGCTACTCTACGTGATCCCTCGTTGGATCATTCTCAAACAGGTCTCCAAATAAACGGTAAAAAGGTATATTTCGAAATAGCGAAGGATTCAGCAATGCTTAGTTTTTGTTATTATATTGTTCTACCATACACACCGTGCTTTATTTCTCTGCCTGTTGGCAATCCATTCTCGGCAATGGTTTTCCTTCCACCACCTGCTTCCATCGATCATTTGGCCATCAATGTCAGTCACAGGCACTAGACTCAACAGGTGGCTCAATACAAACCAATGGCTTTGCTGTTGTGTCTACTAGCAGATCCAGTTCAACAATATTAATGACGACTATCATAACAAGGTCATCATTACTAGATGGTAGCTCCAAGAAACACAGACTGTGTACAACTGGGGGAATGTACCGTCAACCCAAACCCCAACATTCATGGTCAGTAGCCTGCCAGAGGTGAAAATTGCCCACAAAAGGTATCAAACCTCATTAGTGGTTATGTTTTTCTTAGGACTATTCACAATGTTTTCTTTCAATAGCACAACCTTGATTGGACTCTTACCATGGAGCAATGCTTCAGGTAGAAATTAAAGGCAACGGTAATCAATTGGATGTCTATTTTGAGAAGAATTGTATGCTCGGCAGATCCATTACGTAATTACAGTTACGGCTGGACTGAAAAGGTCACTGAACACTGAAATTTCAAATGTCATCACATTGCGAGAAGCGAATTCATTTTTAATTAGTTCTTTTGTTGATGCGATAAAATTGATATCATCATTTTTATTCACAGGAAAGCGCAGGAACAGCTCCTGGGCCGCCAAGCACCGGTGCCTCACAGCAAATTCAAAACAGTTCACCCGCCAACAGGCCGCCGCATGCCAAAGAGTACAGCTTTCTGGATATTGAACTGAAATACGGTATTCTACAGGTAAGCTTGCATCCGACATATAATTTTCATCTTTACTGGCAATAAGGAATTGCTTTCAGAGTAATTTGAAGAAAATTGAAATAATCCCGGTTGTCAGAATTTGCTAACCCCGATTATCTGTATCTCAACCCACTAGGACCAGTTGGATTAACAATCTTAACCCGTTGGCATGCTCAAAACAAGCAGTGAATTGCAAAACATCGGTCCTAGAATGAGAACCCAATTAAATAATTGATCATCAACTTCTAGCTAAAATGGCACCGTCGGCACTTTTTACTCTTGCCATCAAGTCTTTTTTGCCTTTCGATGATACGAATTTCATGGTATGAAATAAAACTGAGCGAAAAAAGTATAAATCCACCTACAAGAGCATTTATCGCACACAGTATGTATGGGTGGCGAAATGTTCGAGCTTTATTCGTACTTCCGGAACCAATCATTGGATGTGAAAAATTAAATGGTACAGCGGGCAATGGTGTTCCAAAATAACATTTTGTCTTGAAACCTGGGGTCTCACCTTTCAGGTGTAAGAACAAAGGTTTTATATTGCGAAAACTCTGGGAAATGTTGGTTAGAGTTTTTTGGCAGAAAACCTTTTTATACTTAACTTATATCAAAAAACATCTCTAATTCTTTAAAATCTTGTGAAACCTAACCCTTTCATATTTTTTACAGATCATTAGGGTCCAAATTAAATGAAAAATATATTTTATGAGTCAAATGTTGTTGTTGTTTTTTTTTTTAATTATCTTGAACTATAATTTTTGAGGTACATTACGGCATTTAATCGACAAAAGAGGGTATAAAACATGTAATTATCAATCAATCTAGTCCAATAGAAAGATGGGCATTTTTATGGCGAACAACTCTGCTGAGATATTTACGATTTACTGAAGGAGGAAAAAATATGTTATAGATGATACTCCATTGTAAAATCCAGTACTTTCTTACATTGAAATGGTAAATATTAATATTTATTTGCCTGAGCAAAAAAAAAACTCTGAGGTATTAGGTATTATGAGTCAAAGGAATCAGGTATTATGAGTCAAACACTAACTTCACAATCTATTCTTGTTGCTTACATATGCAAAATATAATACCTTATTATTCCATAATTTCATAACACATTTTTTAGCCAAAATTAATGGAAGGCACTCTGAGAAGGCCTCGGGTTACGTTCGTTGGATATGAAGACTTATGGTCCATAAGCTAGTTTGAGATCGGCTCTTGTAATTTGGACGTTGAAGAAGTAGTCGCAAATAAGAGGAGATTGGTTTGAAGTGAAAGTAAGAGTGATACAAGGAAGCTAGGAAGCTGCTGCAAAATCTCGACAATACTCGACAATGATATTCATCGTCAAGGCATACCATGTCAGTTGTCAGTGACGAACATGTGCAGATTTTTTGACGTAGGGCTACGTCTTTCGGGAAGATGGGGGTATAATTTATGAAAAGCGAAAAATGAAATTATGAAAGATTATGTGCGTTAATAACTTAGCTGCCCCTGGACCAATTTCAATTATTTTATCACCAATCGATCAGAAACAATGCTTTTGACTGTTGATTTTTAAATTGAAACTATTGAAAAAGTGGTAAATGTCAAGCATTGTCCAAAAGCTTCTAAATAACTAACAAATCCACCAATTACGTACATGCATGTGCTGCTTCCCCAACACAGTCATCAGAGAATGGTTCCTAGATAAAACAAGTCGAAATGACATTCGCCTCCGATCTTCGGGCGTGTACGAATAGGGAGGATACAATTGCGGAACATTTTGTTGCCAATTCAGAACCACACGCCCCCAACGACCACACAAAATGCTGTTTTTTTTTCCTTGGATTTGTTTTCCATGCACCATTGCTACCCACACCCATGTGTTACCGTTTTGGTTCCTGTACCCTATTGGTTCACTTCGAGCGAGAAAAATCAGGAGATAGCGAGAGCGAGGAATAGGGTAATTGTGTGTTCATTGTGAATTCAATCTGTATGTCAGCTTCTTGTATGCAATATTGTCTTGTTTTGAATGTAAATATAATTAAATATGTAAGGCAAATGAAAGACCACTCCTAAACCAACGGTCCAATTAAATATTGTAACCCAGTCACACCAACAACACATAACACAGAACACATAACGGGAAGGAGTAAGGATGAAGGTGGGCGTTGGAAACAAGAGAAGGATATGGACAAGGGGTGGTGAAAACGTGGGAGGGAGGTGGAAATGGGCTTAGGTCAAGGGGGAAGCTACTGGGTCAAACTGAAGAGAAGGTTCTCTTTCACTTTAGCCATTGCGCGAGATAGATCGATCTGCCAAGTTAAGTTTCTTAAAATTTTTGAGAGAAGTGAAAAATATAGAGTCGCCAACAAATACCGGTGAAACTACCGAATATAGAGTCAGGAAGAACCCAATTAATACCCGGTAGCGGAATTTCTAGCCCTAAGACCACCTCTCATATTCCCCTCAGGACCCATTAATTACGGGCTAAAACCACGAGGGCGTCCGTTAATACGCCAACACCCGTGTAGCAAGGGTCCATCGGTTATATACCGACGACCACTGGGAGACCACCGTCGATCACCCGATCGACTTCCAGTACAACATTCGTCGTGCCACACGGTGATAACCGTCGAGTACTGGCATCCACCGTGAGCAGTCCGTTCATCCGCCGCCGAAAAACCCCACCCGCTGCAGAATTCCGTCATCGCTGGCCAGCACTACACACACATACACACTACAGACACCTAAATCGTAAGTAATAAAAGAGTAAAAGTGATAAAAAGGTGTTTTGTTCTTTTGATCAGTGCCGACAAGCCAGGAGCCGACCTTGAAGCTCCAGGGTTTCAAGCTCGAGCTAGCCAACAAAAGAGGCGAGTGTAGCCCACCCCAGACGATCTCCGTGGCTAGACCAGAGGTTAGGGGAATCCCTTTAAACTAGCCCATCTGGCTAGCCATTAACACATGCTTGGCACACACAGTTTTGGTCACGAACTGCTCATTTGCTAATAACTTTGCACAAAGTTAACGGAACATAGTTCTTTTTGAAGCAGTAGATAGAATAGAGTGTAAGCTTGTTATAGATATGTAAAATAAAGTAGATTTTAATGCTGTAACTGTATTTGTTTTTGCGTTGTAAAAATGAGGTGAGAAATGCTCATTGCACATCTTGGAATTTAAGTGTTAAATTGATTAGTGTTGATTCAAATGTTAAGCTTTACCTAATCTTCGCAGATCTATAGCCAAATCTATCAATTACTTAAAAGAAAAATAAATTTCAACATCTGAGTGAAAATTTATTACCAAATGAGCAGGACCCTACCTACCGACCCATCAACTCATGAACCGGGAACCCCGAAGGAAGGCGTGATCAGAGATGTTATGCCTCAGAAATTCCCGGCAGCGTTGACTGGGATTGAACCCAGGCCTGCTGGGACGCTTACAACTACACCACGGGCGCCGCTGCTCTCTAGAGTTGTAATCTTGTAACCAAACTTGGAAGCAGGGGATACTCTATATAAATTCTATTCTAACTCTTTTCTGAAATGAACTTGGTGGCCCTGAAAAGTTCATTTCAGTAAAGAGTTAGAATAGATTTTATATAGAGTAACCCATGATTCACCCATTCAATTTGTCACTAAATACATCAAAATGATTACCTCCCTTTCCCTTTTCCCATCCAAAAAAAATTGTAAATCCCCACTAACCTCGAGACAACCGCGAGTATCCGGTCCAGCTCCTTTAACTTTAAATATAAGAAATCAATAATGTATAACAAAAATGATAACTCGGCTCTGTAAAGTTTATTCGATTGAGCCTGTACAAATAAAGTAATTAATAAAAAAAAAACATCAAAATGATTCAAAAATCAAATAATTTGTTAGGGAAATAAATTATGTTCTATCTTATCGGTGGGTTAATTTTTTTCCGTTTTACTTTCATTAACTGAGAAACCCTCATCGTATGCATTCTCCTGCTGCGCGACATCTTCGAAAACGTCCGAACCGTAAAAAAATTCGTAATCCTACGTCAACAATGCGGGGGCCTCCCTTAGCTTAGTCGGTAAAGGCGCAGCTACAAAGCAAGACCATGCTGGAGGTGGCTGGGTTCAATTTCCCGGTCCGGTCTAGGAATTTTTCGGGTAGGAAAATTTCTCGACTTCCCTGGGCATAAAAGTATGATTGGACTTGCCACACAATTATACCAATGCAAAAATGGTACAGGCATCGAAAGCTCTCAATTATTAACTGTGGAAGTGCATCTATAGAACACTAAGTTGAGAGCACGCACTAAGCTAATATGCAATATGCAATAAGCTTGAAATGCGAAGAAGAAGAAAGAAGACGTCAACAATGCGGTTGTGTCTTGTACACCACCCTCCAACTTTTTTTTTAATAACTAAATTTGTAACGAAATTAATTGATAGGAGCAAAAAAATTACATGTAGCCGTTAAAGTGATCAAGCATCTACGTCCTGATAACAATAATGTGACACAGAATGAATGAAATTTAACGTTTTGTTGCCAGGTGAATCTTTGTCATTGACGAAAAAATTAATGAGATTTTGACAAAGGTTTTTTTGATGATCAATTTTATCCGTGACTACGTGGTAAACAATGTTTTCAATATTACGCGAAAGTCTATCAATGACAATGTCAAGCACTCAGCACCGGCTAGGAATAATACAAAGGGAAATTCGAGAAAGGACGTAAAAATAACCTGAAATTACGCTGTGAACCAAACCAGTAGGTTGAACAGGATTGCACTCAACAGTTGATTTAATGAAACTATAAAGCAGAGATTTTTTTGACGTAGGACTACGTCTTTGATTTCTATATGGGGGTACACTTTGTGAAAACCGAAAATGAAACATGTAACAAATTAAGAAAGATTTTGAACGTTAATAACTCAGCTGCCCCTGGTCCAATTTCAATAATTTTATCACCAATCGATTCCGTATGTTGATTTTCAACAAGAAAATATTGAAAACTGTTAAATGTCCAGCA